GGTTAGCTGGATATCCCCGCTGACCAACGTTTCCTCGACAGCTAAGAGTCCCACTCATTAAACGTCTCCGCAACCGATCTTGCACAGTCCCCTCGAATCTTCCTCCACGAGGCCAATGATAGCGTGTCATAGTTCGATGGGTACAATGTGCCGATCTCACAGTTCGCCCGTGCTTATCAACGAGCGCGAAAGACGGTGCTACCGTATTATGAGAGGCCATTAACTAAACTATTGATTAATAAACTCCACGGGCGCGCTTAGGAGCCGTGGAGGATGAATCTTGCGAGACCGTAACATTAATTGACCTTCTCTTCGGGACAATCGACCAGTGGCAGTGAGAATTGAGATGACATGTTACATAAGACCGGGGGAACATATGCTTGATTACATAAGCCGCGTGAAAGAATTGCGTTCATTTATTCTGGACGACAGGACTGTCGCGGAAATTGATGAATTGATCGCCTCTTTTGTGATGGACTGCCCTTTTTAGGGAATCTATTCTTGGATGATCTATTCTTGAAGTGAGTGACTTAACCTCGGAAGGTTTCCTTGCAGCGCTACGTCAATTTATCGCTAGGTGAGGATTACCAAAGTAGATTTATTTCGACAACGGGACTAATTTCGTAGGCGCAAATAATTAACTTAAAGAACTATACGTTCTCATCAATTCAGAGGAACATAAAGATTTAAAGTTAATAGATTCGCGAGTGAATGTCGTATCACCTGGCATTTCATTTCGCCAGCAGCATTTTGATGGCTTTAGGAATCCACCTATACGTGATATTGATGAGACGTAATTCTGTATGTGATATTTTGGGTGTATCCTTAATAGAAGAAGAGGAAAAAGAAACATTTCACAAGTTCGAATTGTTCCCTTTCACAACTTGCAAATTTTTACAAGTTCTGATATGTAGTATCATTCAATCCTTTCTTTATGATATTTATACTATACGTATATAGTGAGTTGTGTTGCGACTCCGTGGATTGCAGATTTGGTAAGTACACTTTTATTTTTGCTTGATTTTTGAATACTTTCCGTTTCATGCGCATGATATATTATTTTATCTTTTTCAATAATGTCCTAGTTTACTGATTTTACCGATCAGATCATTTAATACTCGTATCAGCTGTTCGAGAGCGAGTTAAAGCGAGAACGACAGCGAGAAAGTTTTGAGTGAGATGGTGTTTTAAAGTTCGATTTACGCGAATTCTCGATCGCGAATCTAACGCGGCGATTTTCTGGCAATGTAGCGTCTCCTAGGCGATTGTACTTGTAGCGAAGCGTTTACTCTGACCGAGAACAGTGAAGAAGAGGAACATTGCTGCTCGATTTAGCCTTTTTATCCTCTTTGAAGAACAAAGGCTTCCTTTTACAGTCGCCTATGAGATTCTCGCAAAATTGAAAAATTTGAGCCCCTGTTTCGGGCAGCGATTGGCAATTTTCGAGCGCGATGGCCAAGCGGTATGCTATTGCCAAGCGCGCCCGCTAAATCAGGAGTCCTGATTGGGATGTACGCATGTTACGCGTTTCGCATCATGCGAGCACGCGTGCGACCGATCTGAGTTAGCTTGCCGTCGATCATAGCGATTGAGATTTGTATATGTACGACATGTGGCTTAGCTTATGTTTTTCGACTTTATAGACGAGGTGATGGCCAAGTTGTGAAACCTCTAAAGACGCTTGGAATTCTTCTAGAAGCTTCCGATCCGCATGTCGCACGTACGCCGAATCTGCAAAAAACTATCTGTCTCAGCTGTCTCGAACACTAGCAACTTTCTATTAAATTAGCGTAATTTCGGCGATCCATGTAAATGTATACTACACAATTCATGTATTTAATTGATCTTGATCATTTTAGTGTGTACCTTTTTGTAATAGTCTATTCTTTAATTTAACATCAAAATTAAGAATTTATAAGAAACTATTATCAACTAATTCGCGTGTATTAAGCGATCGGTATAAATTAGGATAATATTCGGTGAACAACAAAGATAAAATAATATATCATGTATATCATGTGTGAAACAGAACACACTTAAGGGTCAAATTATATAATGCATAGGTTACATAATACGAAAAAATGATTTTAAATAAAGAAAAAAACATGAAAAGTTGAAAATATTTTGTTTTGAATTTCTTCAAATTTTTTTATTTAAGCTGCGTTTACGAAGACGCTACATTTTAGCGTTATTTAGTATTGTTCCGTGTTTAAACGTTCTATTGATAAAGATAGAATTGTACAAATATTGCAAATCTCTTGGAACATGTACATGTATAAAAATAGAAAAAAAATTTTTATACATGGGTAACTTGTATCTTTTATTATTTGTATTTATAGAATCATATTTGCGTAACTAAAATATTAATTGGAATATTTGAACGCCAAATCCGAGTTTTTGCTGATATCGAAGGGCACGTGCATGATCATGGTTAGTCATCTTTGGTAAATACGCATATAAAATGCTATCGTATATCTATAATATAATAATGAATGAACCAGCGATGAGTTAATTTTATTTGTAGAAAATATGTATTATATTATTATGTGTATAGTACATTAAATGTATATTTACATTAACATTTCGAGGATTGGGTGCGGTTTGTATATAGAATGCGTTTAATATATAGAATAATGTAATATGATTGCAAAAATTTTCTAAAAATTCAAATTTTATCTTTTTTGTGTTTATTAACTTTACGATTACTGTGCTAAGTTCCCAAATGAGGCGAGAGGCCCAAAAAATTTTTTGAATAACATATTTATAATGTTAAAAATTATATTAAAATATAATAAATAAACATATCAATGCGTAAATTATTGGGAATGTGCATTAATTTTAAGGAATTTTTTTTGTAAAAATACGGCTTTATTGTGAAAATATAGTTACAAATTGATCATTCAAAATATTATCTAGCTACTATTTTTTCTCATCTTTCTAGTAACAGGTGGATTCCACGTCAAAAGAAAGACACATCTTTTGAGACTATCCACGAATCGATCCATTTTTTGGTATCTTCATAAGAATGGAAGTGCTGCTCAGACAGGTCATGAGTCATCGATCGAAATAGGTAGTAGTCGGAAGGAGCAATACGATGGGGATCTGGAGAATACGATGGGTGTGATAGGACATCCCAGCACTTCTAATGTTTTCTTAACCGGTTTCGCAACATGTGGCCGAGCGTTGTCGTGCTAAAAAATCACTTTATCATGTTTTTTCACGTAATTTGGCCGTTTTTGCTTCAGTGCTCGGCTCAATTGCATCAATTGTTGTTGGTAGTATTCTGATGATTTCGTTGGGTTGAAGCAGCTCAATACATTACACCCAACTGATCCCACCAAATACAAAGCATGAGCTTGGTGCCATGAATATTCGGCTTTGCCGTCGATGTTGATGGTTCGCCTGGCCTGCACCATGATTTTTTGCGTTTCGAATTATCGTAGAGAATCCCTTTTTCATCACCCATTACAATACGATGCAAAAAACTTTTTCTTCTGTGTCTTTGAAGCAACAATTCACAGGTCATTTTGCATCTTTCGACGTCCCTCGGCTTCAACTCATACGATATCCAATTTCCTTTTGAATCATTCTAATGGCTTTCAAACGTCTGGAACTCGTTGATCGATCAACATTTAATGATTCTGTAAGTTTTTCTTGTGTTTGACTGGGGTTTTGATCGAGTAAAGCTTTCATCTTCAAATTTTTTCGGCTGGCCTGGACGTTTCTTGTCTTCCGTGTCAAAATCACTTTTTTTATAGCGTCGAAACCACCAGTACTCACATGTTGAAATCGATGGAGTATAATCATGATAAGTTTTCGACAGCATTCGTTTAGCAGCACTTTTTTTCAAATGGAAGTAAAAAAGCAAAGATTCCTGCAAATTGCGTTTTGTTGACACAAAATTCGACATATTCAATGCTCATAAAAACAGTATTGTTTACACTTCGGCAAAATGACACATACTGAAAACTAAAGCCAAATGATGGTGCTTTGAACATGAAGATAGCAACAATATGGCCCGATGTGATAGTACTAGCTACACCTCTCTTGAAAATCCTTTAAAATTAATGCACACTCCCAATAATACAAGATTATTTATTTTTATTTATATTGCTACAGACCATCTTTAAATTTAATTATAGCAACGTAACATTTATAATTTTTGTATACTATATTCTAACTCTTGTATAATTCTTATATAATATTAAATGTTGAATTAATATTAGTTTTCCCTAAATTACAAATAAAAATTAATTCTTTAAAATAGTTATATAAAGTAATATTTTCAAGAATTTTTATTTAACGCTAATGATTTGTCTTAAGTCTATACAATACTTTTAAGAAAATTATTTTTATTATATATTTAATTGTCTTAAGCAAAAGCTTATAATTTTAAAATCAATTCGGAAGATCTATAGAAATTATCAAGTTCTTATGACATAATTATTTTAAAATTTTCGTTTTTGAAACAAACAAAATCTCGCCCCGTTTGGAAATCAAAAGTTAAGATGTTTACGAAAAATTTTGGATTCGGCAATGATCATACGAATCCATTTCTATCTATTTCAATTCTCAAGGAATTGAAATAGAAATGGATTCGTGTGGTCATCGCCGAATCCAAAATTTGGATTTTTCGGATATTAAGTGAATAGTCATGAACTTCAATGATTAATATCTCGGTTCGCGGGGCAGAGAGATTTTTTTCTCTGCTAGATTCTTTCGTTTACAAAAATGCGAACAAGCTTAATTTTATTGATTTATGAGCTAAACTATATAATTATCAAAATATTAAACAACTATAACCTATCATTTTTTGTTTTAATAACATCCGTTGGATTCAATTTTAGTATATAACTTTCCTGTAACTCTTCATTCAAATTCCATTTTCACGTAATTCGTTTTAAAAGCTAAGTGTAATGAATACTATTGCGATCATTAATTTCAAAGTATCAGTCAACAATGTTCACTTCAGTATTCACTACAAATACTGCTGTTCATGGAGCACACGAACGCTATGTTATCAACACACTCTCTTTGGCGATAGCATTTGTAGCGCGAAGTCATGACGTCAAACGCTACCAACAATAACGTCATGATAGTATTTTATAGTGCTATCAGTTAACTCCCCGAACAATGGTATAGCACTGTATAGCACTGGTAGTGAGTAGTGAGCTTCCTGAACGCACCCTAGATATCAAATATCTTATTGACTCCTCATTCTTTTGGCTGCCATTGGCGACCTGTGCCCGCGCGCACGATAAAGCTGTACATACGAACACAGAAATACGAGAATAATCACACGTAACTTGCAATACGATTCCGTCTATCGAGAGAAGCATCATATTTTTCTTTTAATAACGATTCTGATCTTGATACGTCTTGATACGAGAATATCGCCGCTTCGGTCTGGTGAGTTGAGTGACTTTTTTTATAGACTTGACTTACTGTATATCTTGCTCTTCAAGTCATGCATTTAATCTTGCATTAATGTATTTTGTTGCTTTTAAGTAATGCATTAAGTAACTAATTTATATTTATTCACATTAAATGTAATAAATTTTATTTTAGTTTTGGAATTAGATATTTTATAGATTATCTTTATGATAAGTTAATAATTATAAATTGTGTAGTTGCATTCAAAATTTTATTCGTTTTTTAATTGTACCATTAACTTTTCAGTTAATAATTTATGCTTTTGAATTGCTGTAGTTTTGATATTGTGTATATTGATCATAAGCTTAACTTTAACTATTATGAGCTGCTCTGTATCTTTGTTATGAATTCCTGAAAAATTTTTTTTCTGATTCTGACTAAGTTTTTACGAGAATATATAACTTTTAAGCAGCAATGCCACAATGTTATACAGCTGGCTGTTTTGTAAAATAAAAGGAAAACATTTCCATTGTTTGTCTGAAAAGTCTGATAACATTCGTAGAAAGATATGGATTAACAAAATTGGACGAGAAAATCCAAAATCCAAAATCCAGATAACAAATAAAAACAATAGACTTTGTGAGGTACTATATTTTATAATGTAATATAATGATACAGAAGAAAATATAATAAAAACATATAAAAAATAAGAGCATAAAAAACCACAGCACAAGTTATAGTTTGTGATATTTAATTATTATTACATTAATTAAAACATTAAACGTTTTGGCCACAATCTGGCCATCTTCAGTAATTCAATAATATTCTTAAAACGCAGAGTTACATCTAGTTGACATTAAATTCAACAGTCGGGAGTTGTAATTAAATAATCATGTTCTTTTCTATGTGAAGATGCTTCATACAATAATGTTACAACGCCAGTTGTCATATCAAGAAAAGTGTAGAATAAGAATTTCCAGATTCTAATTTAAATAAAATTGTATATATTAATATCTTCTAGTCGGAATAAAGAAATAGAATCATTACCTGTTTTACAGCAAAAAACTAAACGGTGAATCTCAAGTATTTCTTTTGCACAATTAGAATTTTATCATGACATTATGTGTTGTTATTTGTCCTATCATGTATTTTACCACTATTTATATATCTGAATCAACAGTTTAGAAAGTTCTAGAATTATTTATTAAAGGAAAGAGAGATCCTTCTTTAGAAGAGGAAAATAAACATCAGGCAAACCTTCCGTGTCACTTTGCTTATTGATACCACTTGTTTGTCTTTTTATATGTATCATTTCCGAAATTCTTCTTTTCATTAACGATTGTTCTATATCTAAAATTCTTATATTATTCCAATCTAATTCATGCATCTAATTCAAACGGTGACGTGAAACCACTGAAATTTCGGAAGAAGGTTTTTTTTATATCGACCTTATGTTCTTTAATCCGAGTTTTTAATTTCCTTTTAGTTTGGGCAACATAAGACGATTCACAGTTTAAACAATTAATTTTATAAACTACTCCGCATTGGTCATC